TTCAATGGTGAAAAAAGTAAGGTTCTACATTTAGGCAAGAAAAACAAAATGCACAGGTACAGTATATGTGATACCTTGCTCAATAGGAATAACTGTGAGAGGGATCTTGGAGTCCTAGTGGACAACCATTTAGATATGAGCCAGCCGTGTGCAACAGCTGCCAAAAAAGCCAACACAGTTCTAGGCTGCATAAACAGAGGGATAGAATCAAGATCACGTGAAGTGTTAATACCACTTTATAATGCCTTGGTAAGGCTACACTTGGAATACTGCATTCAGTTTCGGTCACCACGATGTAAAAAAGATGTGGAGACTCTAGAAAGAGTGCAGAGAAGAGCAACAAAGATGATGAGGAGACTGGAGGCTAAAACATATGAAGAACAGTTGCAGCAACTGGGTATGTCTATTTTAATGAAAAGAAGGACTAGGGGAGACATGATAGCAGTGTTCCAATATTTGAGGGGTTGCCCCAAAGAAGAGGGAGTCAAGCTATTCTCCAAAGCACCTGAAGACAAGACAAGAAACAATGGATGGAAACTAATCAAGGAGAGATCCAATCTAGATCTAAGGAGAAATTTCCTAACTGTGAGAACAATCAACCAGTGGAACATTTTGCCTTCAGAAGTTGTGGATGCTCCATCACTGGAGGCATTTAAGAAGAGACTGGGTAACTACTTGTCAGAAATGATATAGGGTATCCTGCTTGAGCAGGGGGTTGGACCAGAAGACCTCCAAGGTCCCTTCCAACTCTTGTTATTCTGTTAAATCTGTTAGGGCCCCCTCTATGCTGATCCTTCAACTACAATGCCTCCATAACCCCAATAAATCAGGGATCACCAAAGTCCTCTTCAAGCATTAAAAATAGAAAATAAAGCAGGCATTCTGATAGTTCCGTGGCTGTCCCATTCCATTCAACAAGTTTAAAACCTCCCGTGGGAACACACAGGCTTGTATAATCGGGTTTCCCGTGTCTATGGGAGATTGTAAGTACCGGTAGGTTCAACCAAATATACTTACAGCCTCCTTGCAAGCTTTTTTTTTAATCCAGAAAAGGAGTTGAGAGCTGTTGTGATTGGCAGCAGAGCCTTTTTTTTTTTTTTTTTTTTTTGGCTTGTTTGTTTGTTTCAAATGCCTGCACTGGTTTTTCGTGAATGGCTCCATAGTGTTGGGATGTTATGCATGTGATTTGGCAGCCTTGCCGTAGCACAGGCAACGTGCCCTAACAAAACTGTACTGCCGTAGCTGGGCGATTCGAAGGACACGTCCCTGTGGCTGAATCAACCGAAACTAACTAACTATTGCCTTGCAGTAGTAATTGGCGTTGGAACTGGCATCATACTTATGTTGTCTTGGCAACAGGAATATGAATCATTACATGGACACAGAGGCATAGCTGTAAAAAAAAAAAAAAAAAGCAACACACTTCAATTTTGATGTAGCCCTCCAAAATATTTCTGTATTTCTTTATTATATGCACGAAGAGAGATGAGATTGATTACTTTCAATCACTGCCTTCAGACTTCTAGTCAAGAGATCCTTGTTAGATCTATTATGAGCAGATGTCGGAGACTGAAGCTGGATTTGTCTCTGTATGATATCTATGCTGGAATTATGGAATTTCTAATTCCATAAAATCTTTTTTTGTTTTCCCATCAAAAAGACAGGCAAACAACATCAGGAAGATGCTCCATTGAATAGAATGAGATTTGGATTATGTGGCTCATTTAAACTCCTTAGCCTCCCAACACGCTTATTTGGCTAAAATAAACCTTATCAGTGATTGGGACACGGTAGCTCAGTGGCTAAGACACTGAGCTTGTCCATTGAAAGGTCGGCAGTTCAGCGGTTCGAATCCCTAGTGCCGTGTAACGGGATGAGCTCCCATTACTTGTCCCAGCTTCTGCCAACCTAGCAGTTCGAAAGCAGGTAAAAAAATGCAAGTAGAAAAATAGGGACCACCTTTGGTGGGAAGGTAACAGCGTTCCGTGCACGTTTGGCATTTAGTCATGCCGGCCACATGACCACGGAGACGTCTTCGGACAGCGCTGGCTCTTCGGCTTTGAAACGGAGATGAGCACCGCCCCTTAGAGTCGGGAATGACTAGCACGTATGTGCGAGGGGAACCTTTACCTTTAATATCAGTGGTTGGAGAGAGTTATTTCAAATTGAAGGGATTTGTATTGTTGATTGATACAAAGTTCTGTGGAGAAAAAGCAACAGCAATTGTGCTTCTGTTTTATAATTTTATTTTAACTCATTTTTATTTTCAGGACCCAGCTAATTGGCAACACCTAGCCCAGTGGTGGGTTCCTCCCGGTTCTGCCGAGCCAGTAGCGGTGATGATATGATGTCACCGAACCGGTTCTGCCCTCCCCACCCCCCCCCCCTCTCTCTGCGTTATTCTTACCTTTTATTTGGTCCCACCCCCAATCTATTGCTGCCTCCTGAGTCCCAGCTGATGGGCTATAAGGATAAACTGTTTAAACTCTTGCCGCGGGGCTTCAAAGGGCTGCCCTACAGCTGATCAGTGGTAAACAGCAGTTTGGTGGTAGACCGGCGTCCTCCAAAAACAAATGAGTAGACCGGTGCCTGCAAAAATAAATGGGTAGACCAGTGCCTGCAAAAATAAATGGGTAGACCAGTGCCTGCAAAAATACATGAGTAGACCAGTGCCTGCAGAAATACATGAGTAGACCGGTACAGCTTTCCAAGCAGTTAAAAGCCTGGTAGAGCAGTACCGCTGCTAAATCCTAAAGAATTGTCACATGACCATCAAGCCACACCCACAAAATAAGCCACGTCCACAGAACCGGTAGTAAAAAAATTTAGAACCCACCCCTGGTTCTACTTACCTTTACTACCGGTTCGCAACGGGAACTGCGCATGCGCAGATCTCCGATGACGACATCTGGGGCAGTGGGCGGGGCCTCATGCCAGTTTTACTACCGGTTCTAGCAAACCGGTCCGAACTGGAGGCAACCCACCACTGACCTAGCCAAATTTGATTGATCGTGAAGAAGCATTGTGAGACCAGACCAAGATACAGGTAGTCATTGGCTTACCATGATTCATTTAGTGACCATTCAAAGTTTATAGTGGCACTGAAAAAGTGACTTATGACTGTTTTTCACACTTACAACTGTTGCAGCATCCCCATGGTCACATGATCAAAATTCGGACACTTGACAGCTGGCATGTATTTAATTTAAATCAACTGTTGTGTAAATCAAGGGCTATCTGTATAAATTGCAGTCTTAATCTTACAGTAATCATAATCTAAAAGACCAAATTATCCTAAATACGGATTCCAAACTTCGACCCAGCTATAGTTTAAGTGATGTTGACAGTCTGACCTTAGATCAGTGTTTCTCAACCTTGGCAACTTGAAGATGAATGGACTTCAAGTTGCCAAGGTTGAGAAACACTGCCTTAGATGGAATGTATAACAAGCAGACAATGCACTCATATGCTTTTTTGTGGGGGTTTTTGTTGTCCATTTTTGTGGGGTTTTCCTATTTTGGGATAGCGCACTGTCAAATCAGACACTGGGCCTTTAAAGAAGCTCAAGTCGATTGATCCAGATTATTCTGTGAATGAAACATGCTTTGAGACCCGAAAGAAGTATCGACTGTTTTTCAAATACCTGAATAATATAAGAAATTATAGTACATTTCTGTGCAAGTCTAAAATAGTCCCATTATGTTCAGTGGAATCTTCTTCCCAGATAAGTGGATATCACATTGCGGCTTAAAGCAGGGAAAGACATTCTCCCATGGGGATACAATGATAAAGTATATCAGATTAATTTCTCCATGACAGGGTAAAGAAGAACCAGTATAAAAATCAACGCTTTTGCCTAGTAGCAATGCTGGGGTTTTTTTTAATTTCTTTTTTTTCCCCAAATGTTTTAACACCTTGTTTAAAAAAAAAAAAAATTCTATTGATTTCCTAAGCGAATGACAGAAAAAGATTTACCACAGAATTACTTGTCAATTTAAAAATACACAAGCCCTGGAGATTTATCTGCATATAATTTCTTTTTGAGTAGTGTTTGGTTTTGGGGGGGGTGTCTTTTGGGTGGGTGGGTGGGTGAGTTGCATATATTTTCCAAAAAAAAAACCATATAAGTAGTCCTTGTTTAGTGACTGTCTCAGATAATAATTATTCATTATTGCAACAGTGATTAAAAACTAACTTTGCAACCAACCAGTCCTTGTATTTGTGACCTTCACAGGTCTGTAGAGCAAAAAGCTAAAATAAGTGCCACCGCCGGAAGGTGGAGGGGATGGAGCTGCCCTATGCACCTGCACCGGCTTACCTCAGGGCCCCCACAGCCAGGCCACCCATGCCCCAACACCTGCCTCACCTTGCAGTGGCAGCTCCAGCAGCCCCATCCAGCAGGATGCCGTGTGGCTACTAGCCCACTTCTTCTGCTTCCTCGCGGCCGCAACAGAGCATTGGTGCCGTGGCCATGAGGTGATGGGGGGTGGAGCTGCCCCATGCTTCCCACAGTGACTTACCTCAGGATCCCTGCAGCCAAGCCATCAACACCTTGACACCTGCCTCACAGCCGCAGCACCAACACACTGCTCGGCCTCCTGCTCCATTTTGGCCACAAGCAAGCAGAAGAAGTGGGCCAGCGGCCATGTGGGCTCCTGCTGCACATGGCTGCTGCTGTGAGGTATTGGGGCATGGATGGCCTGGCTGCAGGGGCCCTGAGGTAAGCCGGTGCAAGGCGCATGAGGCAGCTCCACCACCACCCTGCGGTACTGTGAGCGACCAGATGGAATGGGCTGCGCAGGCTCCTAAGTAGGGCTTATTTTGGGGGGTAGGGCTTATATTAGGCAGGCGTAAAAACCATGCTAGGTCTTATTTTCTGGATAGGCCTTATTTTCGGGGAAAACAGGGTATGTATAATTTTGTCACAAAAAGGAATAGAGTCATAGGCATGTATGTGCGTATGCTTCCTTACCGTTTCTTTATATGTTTGTGTCTTACAGCTTTTTGGAGCACTTGTATGGATACTAGTAGCTGCTACAAAAGTTCCTTTGCCTCTGCTACAAGGCTGGGTAATGTTTGTATCTGTGACGGCCTGTTTCACCTCCCTCTCCTTCCTTTCGGTCTTCCTCTTCAGTTATCGAGAGAGAATTGCCATCGACTGGAACCGTTTGGTAAGCATGCAAAAAGGCTGCAAGTTAAAAAAAAAAAACACTGGGAACAAGTCAGAGGGATTTTCAGGAATGAATTTATACTTATCACAAAACTACAAGGTGATTTATTTTGCTTCGGCATATCAGTAGTCCTCAAATTACAATCATTGCAGACAGCTGGTCATTGCATTCTTTTAGGGATTCGTTGAGGTTTATTGGTGTCACAAAGTATAACCTTCGAGTGGCCTCAACTACTCTCTAAAAGGATACAAATGACCAGCTGTCTGCAAGGAGTATAAATCCTTCCATTTCTCACCATCCAGTCAGAGCCGAAGAAGCTTCTTGGATGAGAAGTGAAACGTCTTCAAAGAAAAACTGGAAAGTCCAGTTGCCTCTTGAAAAAGAGCACCTTTGGGTCATGTCTGAAATGGTACTCTCAAATTATATTTCTGCTTTGCACCAGTAGTGGGTTTCAATTTTCTTCGCTAACGGTTCGCTGTTGGGAGCATGTGGGTGCTTGCTTCATGAGCACGCGGCACTTTGCGCATGCACAGAGCGTTTTTATGATGTCTGGGCATGTGGGGGGAGCCTGCCGCTGCCACCGCTACCGGTTCACCTGAACTAGGGCGAACCAGTAACAACTCACCACTGCTTTGCACGCATATTTCTCTTATCTGACTATTAACTTGGTTGCAGTTCTTCCCTCCTGTACCTCAAGGTTCTTCCTTCTAGCCATTACAGATGCCAGATTAGAGAAGGTTCATATTTGGGGTTTGCTTGGGTCAAACAATCCAAGCACCTGTTGAAACAAAGCTTTTAAAAACACTGCCTTAGTGTTGGATCTGGCACATTAAATCATCGGGATTAATAAAGCAGATTCTCCTACAATAGTCCTTGACTTACAACTGTAATTAAACCCATAATTATGGTTGTAATTTGTGCCAGTCATTAAATGGGTCATCACATGACTGCGCCTGATTTTATGACCTTTTTTTGAAGTGGTCATTGAGCAAACCCTGCAGTCATCAAGCAAACTTATTGACTGCAATGTGCTTTTTTTTTTTGTCAAAACCTGAAGTAAACACCATTTTCCAGCAAAAATCATAAGTTGTAGTCATGTGACCATATAGTCTGGTTGCTGAGTGCCCAGAATGTGATCACATGACCTCAAGGGTGGAGGCGGCCATCATAACTGGGGAAAGGTAGCCTGAGGGGAGATCCATCATAACGTCAAACGGTCGCTAAGCCTAAAGTCGTAACTCAAGGACTATCTGTACTACCCTGTTTCCCCCAAAATAAGACATCCCCTGACAATAAGCCCAATCGGGCTTTTGAGCACATGGCAATAAGGCCAAGCGCTTATTTCAGGGTTCAAAAAAATATAAGACAAGAGTTTTATTTTCGGGGAAACACGGTATTAATAAATGAAGGCTGTTTTTTTTGTTTGTTTGTTTTAGAAGACCCATTGCTAGAAATGAGTTGTCACTGCCCAATGTGTTGCTGCTAAGTATTGCGAAACAAAAAAAAATAGAGATGGTTGATGAAAGAATGGCTTATTCCTGCATGTTCTGCATGTACGTTTTATCTAAAGTGAAAAGTTTTCTTGAATTACCGTTTTTGTGAGTATAGGGGAGATCACAGTAAGTATGGAAGGAAGCCGAGACTCCTTTTAAGAATGCCAATTGTAAGGAGCTACTTGACGAATTGCTGAGTATACAGGCCCAAATCCAAAAGAATTATCCATGCTATAAATCCACAGGAGGAGCAATTCCATTAATGCAATTGTGGCTTACTGCTGTGTTATTTTTTTTAATGTTTGTGCACGCATATGAACTTGTAAAGATGGAAGTTCATGATGATTTACTTGTGTGTTCTCTTGATGCCTTGGTTGTGGATTTTGGCTTTCTTTTGTTTATTCTTTTTTGGGATTGCAAGGGCACCTTTGCTCTGGAAAGCTGCAAACTCACAAGCCGAGTTAACTTTAATTCTGCCTTTGTTTGCACAGTAAACAAGGAAAGATCCATTGCTCGGTATTAAAGTAAACATTGAAACCTAAAATGACCCTGGTCAGGTCTGCTGTATCGTGAGCATTTCAACGTTGTTTTTGTTTTTTTTTAAAAATCCACCTGAAAATCTCTACGTTTGGCATGCGTTTGTTCCTGACGTAATTTTCTCCCGTATTCTGAATAGAATAGAGTTGGAAGGGACCTTGGAGGTCTTCTAGTCCAGCCCCCTGCTCAAGCAGGGACCCTATATATACCATTTCAGACAAGTGATTGTCTCTCCTTAAAAACCTCCAGTGATGAAGCACTTACACCTTCTGAAGGCAAGCTGTTCCACTGGTTAATTGTCCTCACTGTTAGGAAGTTTCTCCTTAATTCCAGGTTGCTTCTCTCCTTGATTAGTTTCCATCTATTGTTTCTTGTCCGGCCCTCTGATGCTTTGGAAAATAAATTGGCCCAAATTTTGGTATCAATTTTTTGTTGTTGTAAAACATTATTGTACATAATTATGTCCCAAGGATACACTGATCTGCAGATTCAACTCATAGATGACCGAGTTTGATGAAAGAACAGGAGGACCTCCAAGACTCCTTCCAATTCTGTTATTCGTATTCACCTAGGAGAATGAGGAAATTAATAGACTTGCATTAAAATTAAAATTGAATGAATGTTTCTCGTTCTTCCTGGGCTTCATACAAACCATGGTGATTGTTGAATGGTTTGTTAATAGGGCTGTGTTCAGAGATGTGACTGGAATTGCCGTGAGGATACAATTTGATTGAGTTCACAATCATCCTCAGGCATTTACAAGAGAAACAATAAATCTCTGAAGGAGACTGGCCACTAGTTTTCCTTATATCCTATGGGCATAAACACATTATGATTGCTTCCTGGAAAAATCAATAGGTTGTGGGCCATCTAATTTCCCCCTTGTTGAGGAGAAACTTTCTATTCCAACCCCCCCCCCACCCATCTTTGCTTTCTCTTGTTTTAAACCAATCAGCAGTCAATGAGAGGACAGATCCACTCATTTCATGATGATAAGTTTATTCAAGATAAGAGAAAGTTCCTTATTAAGGGCATTTGGGAATTCTAAGTACCGTATTTTTCAAACTATAAGACGCACCTGATTATAAGATGCACCTAAATTTAGAAGAGGAAAACAACAAAAAAAGATTTTGGCTTCCCTTTTTTCTGGCCTTTTTTTTTTTTTAGCCCGTTTTGGGGGCTTTTTTCGGCCTGTTTTCAAGGCTTTTTGCAGCCCATTTTTGAGGCTTTTTGTGGCCCATTTCTGGGGCTTCTTTTGGCCCATTTCTGGGCTTCTTTTGGCCCATTTCTGGGCTTCATTTGGCCCATTTTTGAGGCTTTTGGGGGGCATTTTCAAGGCTGTTTTTTCCAAAAAAACAGGCTGAAAAAGCCTCAAAAAAAAAAACTTGAAAAAAGGCCTGAAAAAGGCTGAAAACAGGCCCCAAAACAGGGCGTGCGGAGGCCAAAAAATGGCTGGTGGGTAGGCTGGGCTTCGGCAATATTTGGTCTATAAGATGCACAGACATTTTTGCCCCCTTTTGGGAGACAAAAAAGTGTGTCTTATAGTCTGAAAAATATGGTATACAGACCCCAAGTCAGAATTCCTGCCCCCTCCAACCTGTACAAAAAGACCCTGAATGGGGAAACTCTCTGCAGCAACACAAACATTCATTGCACGTATCCTGCCCAGGGGCCGTAGTTTGAGGACCCCTGATTTAGTGCAATATAAAAAATGCAAATAATTTTTCTGTGGACCACCAAAATTTTCTTGTGGACCACCAGTGGTCCACAGACCACCAGTTGGTGACCGCTGCTTTAGACCAAACCAGCTCTAGTCCTGCTTTAGAAATAAAATCAGCTGGGTGACTTAGCCTTTGGAAGAGGAAGGTGGAAATCACATGCCACTTCTGAAAATCTGTAGAGATTCTCAGTCATCCAGGTCGTGGTTGTCCCAAAGGTGCTTTTTAGGAGGCAACTGAACCTCTACAAACTTTTAGCTATCCAATTTGGGGTGGACACCCTTTGAATGTTGTGGGAATAAGGAATGGATTTCCAGAGGAAAAATTGCAGACTACAAGAACCATTAGCACTACTCAGGTGACCCTGAGGACACAGATAAACCTCCAAGTGCGTGCTCTAAAAGGATGCAAATGACCAGCTGTCTGCAAGAAAAAACAAGAAACTCCTGAAAAAAGCACCTTTGGGACACTTCTGAAAATGTTGCCCAAAACCTGCCCTCTCCAAGAGTTAAGACTAACAAACACACTCACACAGGAGTAGAAATTAGATGGGTAGACTTAAAGAGTTCTTCTTATTTAAAAAATTGCATCTGCTCTTTTCTTTGCCTTAAACAAGTGTCATGTTTTCTTGATTCAGCTTTGGGAACTGCAGGCAGAAGGGAGAACAGCAGGCTCACCCTGAGAGTGATAATATTACATCGTGCATTCCTTTCAGTAAAAATATGTCTCCATAAGTCAACAGCTTCTGCCCACCTTTGGCCTCCAATGCTAAGCGGGATCATTCCTGGTTAATAGTTGCCTAGGGACAGGACCATGGTGGCTCAGTGGCTAAGACGCTGAGCTTGTCGATCAGAAGGTTGGCAGTTCAGCGGTTCGAATCCCTAGTGCCGCGTAACGGGGTGAGCTCCCATTACTTGTCCCAGCTTCTGCCAACCTAGCAGTTCGAAAGCACGTAAAAAAATGCAAGTAGAAAAATAGGAACCACCTTGGTGGGAAGGTAACAGCGCTCTGTGCGCCTTTGGCATTTAGTCATGCCGGCCACATGACCACAGAGACGTCTTCGGATAGCGCTGGTTCTTTGGCTTAGAAATGGAGATGAGCACCGCCCCCTAGAGCCAGAAACAACTAGCACACATGTGCGGGGGAACCTTTACCTTTACCTTTACCTAGGGACAGGACCACAGGAATGGCAGACTCCTTGATATTGTGTTGTAATCCCAGCCCTGAGGCCAAAAAAAATTCTGCAAATTAATTCTGACTTAGACTTAGAATAACTTTATTGTCACTTTGAATGTACACTAATTGGCATACATTAAAATGAAATTCCGTTGTATACAGCTGTCAAAGGGTCACCACCTCCAATAAACACTACGTATACATGACAAAATTAATAGAGTATTACAAAATTATGCATACACCCACCTATATTATATGACACAGGGAAACAACACAGTCTAGTTCGGATGTATACATGTACATGTTTTTTTTTTCCTTGAAAGCATTCACTTCTCATCTAAGAAGCTTCTTCTCAAGAAGAATTGAAGAAGCTTCTTGGATGAGAAGCGGTTTGCAGAAAAAACCCAAGAACATTCAGCTGCCTTTTGAAAAGCACCTTTGGGGCAACGATGACCTTGAGAATCTCCATGGACACTCAGTCCTTCATTCTCTCTTTAACAGAAGCTGGAGTCCTCATTTTAATTCTAGCTACTAGATGGACTTTAGCTTCTTTTCATCCTGTAAGAACAGACATAAATAGCATGTTCTGGGTTCCATTGATTAGACTTAGATTTAGAATAACTTTATTGTCACTTTGAATGTACACTAATCAGCATAGATTAAAATGAAATTTCACTGCATACAGGTCTCAAAGGGTCACTACCTCCAATATACACTACATAAGGAGTACCCGGAGGCTCCAACTGGTGCAGAATGCGGCCGCGCGGGGGATTATGGGAGCGAGGGGTCGCTCCCATGTGACACCTCTCTTGCGTGAGCTGCATTGGCTTCCAGTGGTCTTCCGGGTGCGCTTCAAGGTATTGGTTATCACCTTTAAAGCGCTCCATGGCATAGGACCTGGGTACTTGCGGGACCACCTTCTGCCGCCGATAGCCTCCCACCGTCCAGTACGCTCCCACAGAGAGGGACTCCTCAGGGTGCCGTCGGCCAGGCAATGTCGGCTGGTGACCCCCAGGGGGAGGGCCTTCTCTGTGGCAGCCCCCGCCCTCTGGAACGATTTGCCCCCGGAGATACGAAGGATATCGGATCTTCGGGTCTTTCGCCGAGCCCTGAAAACACTTCTTTTCCAGCAAGCAGGGCTGGCGTGAACCCCACCCCCCTTTTTAGTTTTTTAATGGTTATTAATTGTTTAGTTTTAATTTGTTAATGGGTTTTAATTCGCATTGTTTTAATTCGGGCCAAAGTATATAATTCTTTTAATTAATTTTAAATTTTGTATTGTTATGTATTTTAGTTTTGGCTGTGCACCGCCCTGAGTCCACTAGGAGAAGGGCGGTATATAAATTGAATAAATAAATAAAACATGACTAGATAGATAGATAGATAGATAGATAGATAGATAGATAGATAGAAGGTGAAGATTCCCCTCGCACATATATGCTAGTCGTTCCTGAGTCTAGGGGGCAGTGCTCATCTCTGTTACAAAGCCAAAGAGCCAGCGCTATCCGAAGACGTCTCCATGGTCATGTGGCCGGCATGACTCAACTCCAAAGGCGCATGGAACGCTGTTACCTTCCCACCAAAGGTGGTCCCTATTTTTCTACTTGCATTTTTTATGTACTTTCGAACTGCTAGGTTGGCAGAAGCTGGGACAAGTAACGGGAGCTCACCCCGTTACGCGGGACTAGGAATTCGAACCGCTGAACTGCTGACTTTTCGATTGACAAGCTCTGCGTCTTAGCCACTTATAGCCCCTTGAAAGAAAGAAAGAAAGAAAGAAAGAAAGAAAGAAAGAAGGAAAGAAAGAAAGAAAGAAAATTATGCATGTACCCACATCTATTATATGACACAGAGAAACGACATAGTCTAGTTCGGATGTATATATGTATATGGCGAGAAAAATGAATCTTGCGAGTTTACCAGACGGATAGCATAGGGAACAAAGCTGCTACAGAATCTGGTAGTCCTGCTAGAAATACTTCAAAACCCTTTTAGACATACAAGAATAATGTGATGACATGAGACATAATCTATTTTGCGCAGCCAATCATTTGATTCCTGCAAATGTTCAATCTTCTCAATTTTTTTACTTTTGCATTTTTGCTTCCCCCAGGATTTCCTTTACCACGCAGCCGTCTTTGTCTTCTACTTTGGGACCTTCTTACTGCAAACTGCAACAACATCTTTGCACAGTCACCCACTAAAGACCACCAATCTCGTCTCAAGCAACACCACCCATGGAGCACTTCTAGATAGCCATGAATATAATTTAAGCATAGCAGCTGCGGTGAGTATCACTCAGGGATGTTCGGTGATCAGCCAAATCTAACTACAGTTAGTCCTCGAATTATGAGAATTCATTTAATCACCATCTTCTTTTAGCAACCCCATAATCCCTTGCAGGGTGGAGTCTGGGCAACTGAATGGAGCTAGCAGAGTGTTTACTGGCCGGATGCCCTTCCTGATGCCAATACGGAGATTGGTTCGGTAGATATATTCTCATTGTGCTCAGAGAGAGAGAGAAATATCTGCCTCTACCTAGGATCAAACTCACAGCCTCCTGATTGTGAGGCGAGAGCTCCACCTCAAGGCCACCGCACCACTCCTATGACCCTTCATTTAATGACTGTCTGAATTATGATAGTCATTTGGTGGGTCTTCTGCTCCTGTAGCCCATCGCAGTCTATCTGCATGTGAAAACACTTTTGTCTTCTCTATAGGCTGGCAAATAGACTTCTCTCTCTCTGCCAGCCCTCACAGGCCTCTCTTTCTGGAACTAGTTTCTGGAATTCTGCATCTGGGCTGCTACGTGCAGTGGGCTTGCAGACTGTGGTCAGTCTTTTTTTCTTCACCTGTTCTCAGCTCTGCTTCTCAGTCGGTCTTGCAGCTCCAAGAATTGCAGTTTTCTTCTCCTCGCTGAAGACTGCTTATCTTTGGGGATAAGGACATCTCTACTGCCTTTCCAGTTTGACTCCCTTCTTGACACACCCACACTCACTTTCAATTCCCTTTTAGAATCGATTAGAATAACAGAGTTGGAAGGGACCTTGGAGGTCTTCTAGTCCAACCCCCTGCTTAGGCAAGAAACCCTACACCACTTCAGACAAATGGTTATCCAACATCTTCTTAAAAACTTCCAGTGTTGGAGCATTCACAATTTCTGGAAGCAAGTTGTTCCACTGATTAATTGTTCTAACTGTCAGGAAATTCCTCCTTAGAACTAAGTTGCTTCTCTCCTTGATTAGTTTCCACCCATTGCTTTTTGTCCTACTCTCAGGTGCTTTGGAGAATAGCTTGACTCCCTCTTCTTTGTGGCAGCCCCTGAGATATTGGAACACTCCTATCATGTCTCCTTCTTTTCATTAAACTAGACATACCCAGTTCCTGCAATCGTACTTCATATGTTTTAGCCTCCAGTCCAGTGGTGGGTTGCCCCCGGTTCGCACCAGTTCTATAGAACCGGTAGTAAAACTGGCGGGAGGCTCCGCCCACTGACCCTGACATCATCAAAACACTTCTGCGCGCGCACAAGCAAAGCAAGCAAGCACACGCGGCCCGTTGCAAACCAGTAGTAAAGGTAAGAAGAACCCACCCCTGCTCCAGTCCCCTAAGAGACAAACTCTCCAGTTATGAGGAGGTTGGGGCTGTTTTAATCCTTCTTCCCAGGCAGCACCAAACTCTGGGTCCCAATCTGGGTAGTCAGCCATTCTTTCATGCTGCTTATTACCACCTTTGTGGAGCTCAGCAGGTGACAGCAGCACTACCGAATAGGAAGAAGGCTCATCAGTGTGGCTAGATTGTGAGCCCTCTAACTGCCATGGAGTAGGCCTTCTCCTCTAGACTGCCATTTTAACAAAAGTGCCTACAGCCTCTTCTTCGCATTCTCTTCCTTAGCAACTTAAAGGTGGAGAATTTCTGCTCCAGCCACTACACTGCATTCTCTCTTAAGTATTCATGGTCTTCAGGGTTCCAGCCCAGGATTGTCCCAAAGGTGCATTTTCAAGAGGCAACTGGACTTTCTGGTTTTTCTTTGAAGAAGCTTCATCCAAGAAGCTTCTTCTGCTCCATAAATGTTGAGTTGTAAGTAGTTTTGGGGGTGATCCAGGGGTGAAATTCAGCAGGTTCTGACAGGTTCTGGAGAACCGGTAGCAGAAATTTTGAGTAGTTCGGAGAACTGGCAAATACCACCTCTGGCTGGCCCCAGAGTGAGGTGGGAATGGAGATTTTGCAATATCCTTCCCCCAGGAGTGGGGAGGGAATGGGGATTTTGCAATATCCTTCCCCTGGAGTGGGGTGGGAATGGGGATTTTTCAGTATCCTTCCCCTGGAGTGGGGAGGGAATGGGGATTTTGCAGTATCCTTCCCCTGGAGTGGGCTGGGAATGGAGATTTTGCAGTATCCTTCCCCTGCCACGCCCACCAAGCCACACCACGCCCACCAAGTCACGCCCACAGAACTGGTAGTAAAACAATTTGAATTTCACCACTGGGGTGATCTGATCTATCATAACTTTGAAGTTAAGGCCTGTCATTAAGTGAGGACTACCTGTAAGACAATCCTAAAAACTAATTACAACTCAATATCTATGGAGCTGAAAAAACTTCTTGGATGAGAAGTGAAACGTCTTCAAAAAAAACCCAGAAAGTCCAGTTGCCTCTTGAAAAAGCACCTTTGGGACAACCATGACCTGGATGACTGAGAATCTCCATAGACATACCCAGCATACAACAAAAGATCATACATCACCCATGTGGGCGCATGCTCCCTTCCCTATGAAGTAAACCAGGGGTGGGTTCTACGTACCTTTACTACCAGTTCGCAATGGGAGTGTGCACACGTTTCTGTGCATGCACAGATCGTCAATTATGACGTCTGGGCAGGTGGGCGGAGCCTCCCACCGCTTTTACTACCAGTTCTAAAGAACCGGACCGAACCGGGAGCAACATACCACTGAAGTAAGCCAAATACAAACATTAAATTTACGAAACACTGAATGCTTCAAGAAGTGCAACGTGCAATGTTTATTGTGTAAAAATAACAATCTAGAAAACGAACATTAAAGACCAGCGCAACTGCCAAACTTTGATACCCGTTTTCCTTTCTATTTCTTCTTCCGTGCCTCCTCTTCCACTCCAGATTTTTTCCTTTGTAACAACGGTGTGTTATGGATGCAGCACCACCCTGGCTTTAAGAAGATGGAAATTATAGCATCGGAAAGAGGCCACCAGCTCCGCTACATCCTAGCTGATTTTGCTCAACTCTCAAACAGAGTCCAACGTGTCCCATCAAATAGGAGTGGCGTTCAAAAGGATGTTTTGGAATACTTCTGTTGTTTTCTAAAGCACTGAGACGAACACACCCAACCCATGCCATAAGTACAGTATATACACTCTCAGGGGTGGTGGTGGGGAAAATCTGTGTTTATGTTGAGATTGTACCGCAGCTGCTATCTCGGTTCAGCAGCACCATTCCCATGTCCCCAAAAGTGGGTGTAGTATTAAGAAGCAAGGTTTTAGGAACAGAAGGGATTATTATCAGTTTGGGATGCAACAAAATTCCTAGCTTGACAAGAGGCAGACAATAGCAATAGTGGCCTTTGTGTATATATATTTATATTCTTTCTTCAGTGAGAATAAGGTAGAAATTTCTGTTAAAACACCAACAACTTTCATCCTCGTTTTCAGATGAAATATTTTGTTTTCTTCCCCACACAATGTTTCTGAAATACCTCTCTACCAACAGCATGGAGGGCCCCAAAATATCATCCATTGCTCCACAGAATTTTCTCAGTGACCTACATTTTTCTCCTTCTTTCCTTCCCCAGGTTCTTTCTCTGTTGTAATGTTTTAGGTATGTCAGCTGTGCATGAAACATATTGTGCTGGGCAGAGGTGGGTTTCAGCAGGTTCTGACCAGTTCTGGAGAACTGGTAGCAGAAATTTTGAGTAGTTCGGAGAACCGGTAGCAAAAATTCTGACTGGCCCTGCCCCCATCTATGGGTGCACTATTCTTCCCCTGCCATGCCCACCAAGCCATACCACGCCCACCAAGCCACACCCACAGAACCAGTAGTAAAAATGTTTGAATCTCACCACTGGTGCTGGGACAGTTTCCACTCAGCCAATGTTTTCAGTTGCTAGGTTGATCTTCCCAAGAACATTGTGTCTATTAATTTACAACCTGCCCCTCCCTCATCCCACAGTATTATAATACTATCTTTAGCAGACAATTGAATGTTGGTGCTGTGATGGTTATAGGAGAAATAAAAGCTTTTAGCAAATGTGCAATATATCGCATACATGCAATCAAGAAAGACAATGATGATCATCTCCGTTTCTTGGACAAGGGAGCCAGCATTGTCTGAAGACAATTTCTGTGGTCATGCGGCCAGCATGGCTATACACCAAAGTGCACAGAGCTCTGTTATTTTCCCACCAAAGTGGTACCTATTTATCTACTTGCATTTGCATGCTTTCGAAGGAGCTGGAGCAAGTAACAGGAGCTCACCCCATTGGGTGACACTTGGGACTTGAACCCAGGCTGTACTTTGTATTGCTGGTTTTTTTTAGCTGAAAAAACCATGCTTTACGGTCCACCATGCCCAGCTGTCTAATTTCAGCAGGATTGACATGGACTGCCAAATTTCAGGATTTAATTATCCCTTCCATCAGCCTTCCATCCTTCCGAGGTGGGTAAAATGAGGACCCAGATTGTTGGGGGCAAGAGGCTGACTCTGTAAACCACTTAGAGAGGGCTGTAAAAGCACTATGAAGCGGTACATAAGTCTAAGTGCTATTGCTATTGCTATACCTTCCTAGGCCCAAAAGGTGGTGAGTTCGGTTCTCAGAATTATTCACAAGTACCAGATTGCAACCTCTGAATCTTAGGCCAGACTATAATAGTATTATTTTTAAGTGCAAGAAATATATTATTTTATTCTTAAAATAAGAACACATGCACACAATTTATTTTTAATTCCTAAAATTCCTAATTTAGGAAAATAAACAAGGATGTTTCTCTTAGGTTTTCCATTTTTCCTTATAATTTTGACCTTACCCATTCCCCATGCACTACCTAGCACATGTTTATCTTTCAAGAATTGCAGCCCTGTGAATTGGGAGATTACCAGAATTCTGGTAATCCAAAATAGAATTCCTGTTTGGGTTGTTAAATCTTACTAGCATTGCACAATAGATTAATACTCCTATAAGTTTTATGCTGATACTCATACAAGCCAGGTCACACAAGGATCCTGAACTATCAACAGAAGTGGAACCTTTTACAAATACTGTGTTGTGTCTCTGTTGAAAGAATAATTTGCAGCAGGAGAAAATATTTCATGTGTTTAGGTTCTGCCTAACCAGAATCTAGTTGTAGCTTTGCTAGAAAACGATGTTTTCATAAAAGATAGTTGTGGCTTTAAAATATATATATATATATCCATGAGTGAAATGACAAACTAATGTCACAATTCATTTTCCATTGGTGTAGTAAACCTGAGAAATGTTGTGGTCATGTATTTGAAGTTATGTGCCTATATTCAAGGGAAACATGTTTTATTCAAGAACAGTTTTTATCTAAAAATTTGCTAGTGGGGCAAGTTAAAAGAATTAGATGGACTGGCGACTCTATGCGTACTCCATTGATACAAATTTTGCTTGTACAAATATTAATCTGCAGTCCCATTTCCCATAACTGGGAAGCAAAAGAGAGCCAGCCTTCCTTCCTTCTATCCTTCTCTCCCTCCCTCCCTTTTCTAATTTATCATATAAACTCATTTATTTATCAGCTTTAGATGTAGAAGCCAAAGAAGCTTCTTGTTTTTATTTTAGCAAAACGACTAATATTTTAGAATGTTTCCAATACATTCGTTTCTGCTTATGAAAATGTTTGTGCTTAATTGTTCTGGAAATTTCTTGGCTCCCTCTGAACATTAGTGCTTTCACAATTTTATATTTGAAGTTGTACGCTCTGTTTCATTTTTCACCCTTCAGGTTCTGGGGAAAGATCATACAATTAGATTATTGTATTGTTTGATGCCTCTCATATCCCACATTTTGTGTTACATTACTGTAAATTGCAATCGGGTAGAAATCAAACGTGAACCAGAGAAAGAGCACTTAATGGCAGATCAGGTTATTTAATTGGATGCATGTTGCTTGCAGTCTGGTTATGGAAGATGGGTTCAGATTCAAGTCACAAAGTGGTTTTAATGTGTTGTTTTTCCTATTGCAAATATATGACTGCTATTAAAGGGGAATACATTTGACAGTTGAAGCTATTGTGTAATTCATGTCCCATGTCAAAAGAGGGCTGTGTCTGCAAAGCAAAATAAAATGTATTTAAGTTAGAAGCAGGTTAGAACTGCTGAATGGGCAGTTTTGCCATACAACACTTCAGCAGGCCTTACTACTGCCGTTGTTGCTATCACAACAAAGGAGGTGTGCAATAGTTCAAAATCTCGTAAATCTGAGCTCGGCTGTTTTACATTCCCTTTATATTTTTATTGGAATTTATCCTTATAATTAATCGAACACTCTAACCTCCAGAGTAGCTCAGCAAAACATAGAACATCGAATAATGTCCTGTTTTAGTCCACATGCACAACACTGTTCTGTCCTAGGCTTCCTTAGAAAGCATGAAGCAAAGTCTTAGTCCCGCAAAACCTCTTTTATTTATAAGACTGTAAATTACTTTCATTTACAGTCCGCAAAGCTTGACAAACAGTCTTTCAGAGGAAGGTTATCAACACCCACCTATCTCACTTGGAATGTTGCCAGAGAGCTAATTTCCAGACGCAGAGCAAGGCCAAACTTGGCACAGAGTCACAAAAAGAACTTTCAAATCTTGAATCGGCCAAAATGAATTAATTGCTTCCTGCAAAAGCCCACGTCCCGTTCGCTCCTCTTTTATGTCCTATGGGAGGGGCCAATCATCTCCAAGGTGTAGCCTTACTCCCAAGTCAACCCTGCTTTCTTAATTGTTCTTGTTTTCTGGCAGCTCTGCGCATGCGCACACTCCAGGACAGGCTCCAACTGTTCCTCTGCCTCGCTGATGTCTGACTCCAGAGGCATCTCATAACTACCAGGTGGTCTTGGCCCCCTCTCTGCCTCTGACGCAGAGCCCTCATCCAAGCCTTTCCCAGATTCAGGACTGGCCCATGTTCCTCCCCAACCTCCTCACTGACTGAATATGCTGCCAGCTCTGCTGGCCACTGGCGGACCACAACAAACACACACAAGGATTTTAACGAATTTCGTGATAATCAAAGCCCTCAATGTTAATCCCCTAGGTCTCTACTTGCACCCAATGCAAGGTTCAATCCTATTGAACCCAACACTGCTCAGTCGTTACACAAGGTTACCAAATCCAAAAGCAAAAGTCCGCAAAGTCCAAGGTGGAAGTTCAAAATCCATGAACAAAACCAAGGTGTAAACACACAAGCACAGCACAATCCAGAGTCGAGGAAACTGAACTCACGAAAGCAAAGCATGCACACAGCAGAATGGGTGCTTGTTTCCTTTTTTAAAATGAATTTATAATATAAAATGCAAAAATAAATAAGAGGAAAAATAAGGGAGGGGAAAGGCTATAAAAGGGGGGAAAGGAAGAAAAGGCATTGACTTACAATTCCTTTTGGTGCAGTAGAATAAGATAAGATTCCAACAACCCCCTGCTCCATTCATCTGATTAAATAGGCACTCATTGGTATAGCTCATTAGGAGGAGCGAGGCTGCCTCCTCACGAGTTGCCTCGCCGACCCCTGTTGAGCCTGCCTCTGTTCTGCCCAGCATGTCCGTAGATCAGATGGAGGAGGCAACTCCTCGTCCCTGCTGGCCGGCTGCAGCTGTGCACCTTCTGCATCCAGTGTTTCCAGTGGGGACTCTGAGCTCTCCAGCTGCAACTGTGCATCTCCTTTTTCTTCACCATCCAGGTGTTCATGTGGTCACTCCTCCAGCGACCCCTTCAATGTGCCTGGCCTCTCCGCGCCTGACTTGGGCCCTCAGCAACTTCCCACACTCCTCCGCACACACACCCCCTTCCAAAGTCCCTGGAGTCGGCTCTTCCTCATCTTCTGAGCTGGCATCCAGAGAAGCCATCACTAATAATAGCTCTGGAAGGGACCTTGGAAGTCTTTCAGCCCAATCTTCTGCCCATGGCAGGAGATCATATACCATTCCGGACTTTCTTTGGGCTTGATGGGATCGATATACATGATCATAGAAGGAAAAACAGAACAACAGGACAGAATGCATCCCAGGTCTCATCAGATGGTATTGTGTAGTTGTGGGACAGACTGAGATATTTGGAGACAAGCAAACCAGTGGAGGTATTCAGACAGTTCGGGCTGGTTTAGACCAGTTCACTCGAACCAGTAGTGGCGACCTGCGGGTGGGCCTGTCCACCTGTCCCGGCACTATGCCATCCTATTTAGCCAAGTTTTCTAAGCTGCGTGCGTGCATGCAAGCCACGCACACAAGCAAAGCACATGCATGGAAGGCCGCGCACATGAGTGGAAGGCGCATGAGCGAAGCAAGCGTGTGTGCACATGCGCTCACATTTTTGGTGTGCGGCGAACCAGTGGTATAATTATGTGAAACCCTCCTCTGAAGCACACCCACAAATAATCAAACCTTCTACCAGGGAGAGGTTTATGGATGACCAACCAGCTCCTTGAATTTCATCCAAAAATGTATTGAGAGACTGATTCACAAGTAGCCGTGATAAATGAGTGTACCAAACTGCTCCTATAGAATAGAATAGAATAGAATAGAATAGAATAGAATAGAATAGAATAGAATAGAATAGAATAGAATTCTTTATTGGCCAAGTGTGATTGGACACACAAGGAATTTGTCTTTGGTTGCATACGCTCTCAGTGTACATAAAAGAAAAAAATACATTCGTCAAGAATCATAAGGTACAACACTTAATGATAGTCATAGGGAAACAGTCAATTTAAATCTTAAGGATACCAGCAACAAGGTTAAGTCATAAGTGGGAGGAGATGGGTGATAGGAACTATGAGAAGAGTATACCTTCATACTAGCACATTCTATGCCAGATGCAGCTTCCAATTAACATTTTATGTACAGAAAATGTATCACAAGTAAAAAGACAGAAAAAGGTTGGGCATTGGTGTACCTAAAAGTACAGCAGAAAAGTTGACCAGATGGCTTGAAAGTTCATTTCCCAGTTCTAATCTTTAATAGGAAAGTGGGTAGAATCATATACAATGGGCTCTTCATGCTATTCTAACATGGGGCAAACTGGGATACAGAGTACTGAGGGCTCCTTGGTCCTCTCTCAAATTTGGTTGCTTTCTTGCAGATGTTTCATTACCCAAACAAGGTAACGTCATCGGTGCATTGATGATGTCAACTACTTTGGGTAACAAAATGCCTGCAAGAAAAGCACCAAGCTCAGAGAGCACCAAGGACCTTCATTCCAACCCTGAGCTACAAATATTTCTCCTCTATTGATACAGAGTACTAAGGATGGTGAGAACTACAACCATCCGCAAAGGTTGCTGTGAAGCCCAGAACTTGCTTCTCCACCAATAGATGGCACCGTAACATTACTTGACATCCTTATTCCGTGTAGTAGAGAACCGGGGTAGGGGAGGAGGGGTGTGAAACCAGCATGTGGCCATCCTTGGCTGATCTCAGAAGTTAAATAGAGTCAGTCCTGTTTAGCGTCCAGGGCTTTGGCTAGACTAGAAAGTCATTTTTTAAAAAGTAGAAGACAGCAGGAACGTACCATTGCCATACTGCTGCCCAGAAAGCGGTGTGGAGTCTACAACCACTAGTCAGGCTGGACTTGGAAGTTGCTTTATTTTACTTTTTATAGAACACTGGGGCACCGAGGTGAACTTTTACCGAGCTGGAGAGTACTTTGAATTAATCTTTGAATTAAGGAGAAATTTCCTGAGAGTGAGGCAACTAATCAGTGAATGGCCTGCCTCTGGAAATTGTGGGTGCTCCATCACTGGAGATTTTTAAGAAGAGATTGGACAGCCATTTGTCTAGACCAGGGGTGGGCAACTGTGGCCCTTTTACAACCTGTGGACTTCAACTCCCAGAATTCCTGATACAGCCAAGCTGGCTCAGGAATTCTGGGAGTTGAAGTCCACAGGTTGTAATAGGGCCACAGTTGCCCACCCCTGGTCTAGACTCTAGAATGTGTGGGAAGCTACCCTCTCCCCCCCCCCCAGGAATAAAATATTTTGAGAAATATTCTAAAAAGGCAGGATAAAATATTTCCCATTGTAAGAAGTTAGCACCCACCCTCTCCTAGAAAAATGAAATATTTATAGGAAATATTAAAAAGGCAGAATATTATATTTCCCTGGATGAGAAATAAAGAAACATGTTTTTAGGCAGGGAACAGACTCGCTCTTAATAGCCCCCACCATCCTCAATAGCCCACAGCAGATGTCCACGCTTAAGATCCAACAAAGGTAGGATTAGCCCTCTACCTATCTAACAACAGAATTCACCACATGGCACCTGGGAAGATTACATCACCCAGCAAGGCTCAACCAAGCTTGGGATTCAGGACAGCCTACAGAGTTGCCCCTGCATGGCCCCATGGGAGTCTGACAACCAATCAGAATGCAAGCTTAAATTCAAAGCCCAACAGAGGGCATAAAACCAAGGTACTCTCAGCAGTCTGCCCATTTTCCAGCTCAGGAATTCAAGCCATGTGATCCTGTTCAGGAACTCAAGCCATGTGATCCTTTCAGGAACTCAAGCCATGTGATCCTGTTCATCAATAAACCTTCTTTCCAAGCAACTTCCATGAATCCAGTGTCTTTTTCCCCACTTGGAACTGAATCCAGAAGGATATTTCTTCCAACACCCTAAAAGAGAAACAAAAATCTTAAGGGAGACAGAAACTCAGAGCCTCAGCTCCCTGCCCACCCACTCTCAAGCAGATACTGAGCTGGGGCAGCTTTAGAAATGCAGATTTGGTAACCCATTACTGCCTGCAGCAAGGTCTGAACAAAGGTAGGATTAGCCCTTAGCCAGAATAGGAATTGCCCAACAAGCCCCTTCATTGCATCAGCAGACCAAGCTTCAACCAAGTTTGGCTCAGACAACCTACAGAGCCAGCTATGACCCCTACAACAGCCAATAGAATACACCTTCTTGCACAGGAACAGGAAGTTCAAGTTCAAAGCCCAAGAGAAGGTATAAATACCCCTCACTCTCAACTCCAGGTGGTCAGCTGCCCAGAACCCCACATGTGCTTCTGCTTCATCATTAAACCATCTT